CCGTCCGTGTTCTCCGATTCTCATGTGTCGCCACTCCATAAGGCAAAAACCTTCTCCGAAGATATCTTGAGAAAAAATGAGCGTGATCATCTCACTCAGGTTTGAGGTCGGGGATACCTTGCCCGTCGTTCCATGTATCGATATCCATACTTGGGTGGAATCTGGCGAATCCCTCCATATTTTCTCCCGTAGGTCCCTTGTAAGGCCGATAACGGAACATCTTTCCCACGACTCGTCCGAGGATGATCCACTCTAATCGCCATTCCAATTCCGTGGATTCTTTCATGGCATCTTCAAGCGTTTAATCCGAGTCCACGGTGGAGTCCAGAATGTTGTCTCTGTGGAGTCTTCGAGGTACCGGATAAGTATGGTCATACTTGGAGCGGAGCAAGAGATATCGGTCGCGGTGAATTTCGAAGTCCTTCGAGTGGTATGCTTTCGTCGTTTAAGTCATTGCAACTTATCCATTTCGGAGTCTCGTAGTGATTGAAGATCTTCCGAGATCCGTCGCACGGATTCTATTTCTAGGAGGCAGCGATTCTTCCGGGACTCGAGTGAGGCCTCAAATTTTTCGATTCAGACGAATCCCGCTGCTGTCGAGGCAATGCTTGGATTTCTGAATGGCGTCGTAATGAATAATCCTCACCGAAAACCAATGAGCGCGGCGTGGTATAGAAACACGATGCTGGCGACAGGAGATCCGATGGGAAGGGTAGATGACGCGGCCGGTTGACAGGAGCACATCCTCAAGGAGACCCTCAGACCTCCTCTGTCGGTGAGAAGACTCCATTGCGGTGCAAATAGAGTAATTTATTTTCGAAGCGTGGCGCGCCAGGAATAGAAATCGCCATTCTGATACCTCCCAGCATGATGATACACGCTGATGTCAATATGCTTCGCAAATATTGAGCTTGCTATACTGAGCCCTGGGGCCATGTTCGAGAGTTTCCCGTCTCGGAGCTCTTTTTACTCAGATAGAGAAGAGAAGTCTAAATTTTCTCGAAGGCTCAATCTACAGATGGGAATTCGGGGCCGTGGCCTCAGATAGCGGTTCGATCGAGGTGCCATTGTAGAACACACCGATGACAACAGGGAGTGCCTTCCTCGTCTCTCACATCAGATTTGGTGAGTTAAAGATCTGAAGAGGAGAATCCGAGTGTTTTTATCCATCAATCCTAGCTGAATAGCAGTAAAAACTCCCGCGTCAACATTCTTGAGCTGGAGCATTATTCCCCCGACGATCACGGCGTGCAAAATGATCGAAAATTACAACATAGGTACAGCTGTACATCTATCTATATATATAATCCATCTACCTATATAAAACCTATGTATGTGCCCGCCCTTCTCTGGGAATGGGAGATATTTGCCCCCCTGTCGATGCTTTCTGGAAATATTCTGTCATAAGACGGAGCTCACGGAGAAATAATTAAGGTTCGAGGAGATTCCCCGCCAGGAACCTTCCGGGTGCTCGGGCGGATAATTTCGCCGGTTCGGTTTAAGAAAGGTCCGTCGTATCCTCTGGGAGCTCATGAGGAGCTCACGTACTACATGAATTTTATAAAGCTGGAGATTTCAGATGCAGAGGCACTACATCTCTGTTTTTCAGACAGAGCCCCGGGTTCTTCGGATTCGCGGAGCTCCGCGGCTTTCGAGGCAAGGGTAGGGTTCCCGAATGCGATCGTAATCAGGAGTCCTTGTCGTCGACGAACAGGTACGATATGATTGGGCGAGGCCGGCTGCCGGAGACTCGATGGGGAGGGAAGGAGACGTTTCCGGTCAGGGGATCATATCGTCGAGGAGGACCCCTAGACTTTCCTCGCCAGAAGAGAAAAAAAGCGCACCGCAAATAGAATGATGAACTCCTTGAGCCGTAGCGAGCGGGAGGAGCGGAAATCTCTTGTCTGATAATACCTATCCGGCACAAAGGTGATGATTATTAAAAATACACTCTGATGGCAACATGCTCATGTTGCGGCTCAACCCATCTCGAGTTCGCCATCTTGAACCCAGGGAATAATTTTCTGGGGGGAGATTCCCGGCATGGAGTTCTCTTCAGATCAAAGAAAGCCAAGATTATCCCGAGGACTCCATCTACGGGAATCCGAGGTCTCAGCTAGCGATTCAATCTCTGTGTCCCATTGTAGAAGACACCGCCAGCGACAGGGGATGCTTTCCTCGTCTACTACATCAGAATGGATGAGTTAACGATCAAAAGAGAAAAATTTAAGTCTCTTCAACTTCGCGTCTCGCCAACTACCGGACGGTCATGGCCGTTAGATTCCTTTTCGAAACCGCTTGTGTCAATGTTTGATCGATGCGGAAGAAGGCCGGAGCGTACGGCGGTGCGGCGCCGGCAATTCCACCGCTAGCTCCCACATCCATCCTGGTACAAGCTTCGTCTGCTTCGTCGCCCGAGAGATCGCGACCCGTCGAGAGGGTGGAGAGTGTGCCAAGTCTCGTAGAGAGGACATCTCTCTACGAGAGACTCCTCTTGTTCAGCTCGGGGATTCAATTCTCAACGACGCCCGTCTGCTCGACGGCTCCGTGTAAGAATCGACAGAAATCTAACCTAAGGCCGAACCATCAGCTCACCAACCGAGTCCGAGTCCGGACCCAGTCTATCGGACTGTCGATCGCTTCGCGAATCACGGTGCAAGGGGCTCGCTCGCCGAAGCAGTCGCAACGATGGTGGCGGACGAGAGCCCCGGTGCGACGGCGCATGGCGTGTGACGCTTCGCTGTGGCATCGTGTTATCCGATTCTTAAGGTAAGGGATGAACACCTTGCGACGGCCGAGCGAGCGGACTACGATATCGGCATGAGGAGTGGAACCTTTCGGAATCTGAAACATGAAGCAGCAAAGCGACCCCACCGAACGAGTAGTAAGCCAGAGCTCGATGGCGAGCGGACGGAGCATTCCATGCCGTAGATAAATCGTTGCGCACCAACCGCTAATAAGGCATTTGTCCTCTGTTTCTGGTCAGAGGAGAGCGACCGAGGTCCTCGATCATTAGACCGGTCCGCTGGGACATTGCAACGAAACGACACAGCTGCGGGCTCTGTAGGCTAGATCGTCCCTCGGAACGATACAGCGAACGCGCGCTAACCGGCTCTGCGGTCGTCGTTCCGGCCGCACACTAGTCCGCATAGCGGCTGGCAACATACCACCGAGAGCTATTAGTCGGAGGAACTTTGCAATAAGTCGGTTCCATCTGGATCAGAGGTCACTCACGCTCGTAATGATATGGAGGATATCCATTAGCGGGAGAAAGTTATCGACCTTGACAATCAATATGGAAAAAGTGATATTGGTCTGCTCATCCCGCCATATATACTAGCATAACTTGAATGCTAGTCTGACAACTATTATAATTTGAAGACGGAAAGCGATGACGAGAGCGAATCGGAATAAATGATGCCGACACGCGGTCGAGCTATGCGAAAAAAAATAATTATTTTGACTCCTGAGAGGCTTCTGAGCAGGCATTCCTATTTTTCAGGAGCCATTCGCAGACGTTCAAATCCCGAGCGCCCGAGGTCTGATCCCGAGCTCGGGAAGTCTGCGCCCGAGGGGAAAGTTCTGCAGTTGTCTGCGATCGGTGTGCCCAGTCTCACTCAGTCAATTTCGGCCCTGTCTCAGCGCGGACAACGCGAACGACAAAGGTAAATGGAGTCAGGAAATCGCGCGATATTCGTTGTTTCAAAAGCCGAGACAGGTGAGGAGTCAGTGAGGGGTTTTCTTGGAGATTCCAGTCCAGTTGGTAGGGGACAGTGATTCCTTGATGGCGACGGATCGGACAGAAAGGACCGAGCGGGAGAGGGAAGAAATGGGAAATTCTAAGGCCCTGGTCGGTAGCAGATGGGGGAGATTGGAATGTTCCAAAACTTGATTGGATCCTCTTCCAGCGACTCTTCGGAGAGGCCCCGCGATTCGCGATCGTCTCCGAGAGTTCGCCTCCACCAGGAGACGTTCTGGCTAATTTCCCGCCGCAAGCCCAGCTTCAGCGGGCCAGGGCCTGACTCAGGACGGAATACGACTCGGGAACAGCAGCGCTATATCCGGTCGGATTTGGCTATGGATAAGTGTTACCCGGAACGCGTTATTCCAAGTTCAGCTAGACAGGAGAAGTGTTCCGGTGAAAACTACAGAAGTCGGTGATCGGAATATCGTGACTCAGTTCAGACTCTCGGACGACCTCTCAGGATTCCAGCAGGAAGGGTGGAAACTATTGAAGACTCGCGTTCCGCTCGACGGGATCGCTTGATGCGTACGCTGGCATCCATGTTGGAGCGTGAATAAGCGCTTTGCGCTTCGGTTTTTCACCGAGAAATTTGAACGCTTGGCGGACTCTACTCGGAGCGTTTAACAGTCTCGCCTTGAAATTGCCGCTTATGCTAGAATGAAATGAAAGCCATCACAGTCACGGAACACCTTCCTCCACGGACCACCTCTATTTGGAATGTCGAGGCATTTGCACAGTTTGAGGGGCGCGTTGAAGGGGAGAAACGAAGCATCCATCTCCAAGCGAGGAAATTCCATTCATTCGTTGCGGAAGGATTCGCTCGTTCCGTTAAGCGTGCTTTACAGCGATTTTCGAATGTCAAGAACTTTGCAAAATAGATTCCCGGAATATTCATTGGGGTTTTCTCACGGTCCCGTCGAGTTTTTCGTTAGCGCGCCGCAGAATTATTCAGCGTTCATGAGACGTGATGGAGTCGCTCCTGAACCCGCGCGTCCCGCAAGGTGATCCGTGGACGCATCCTTGCCCACGTCAGCGTCTCGAAGTCGGTAAACAGCTTTCAGAAGCGATGAGTCGAGCGAGCGCCCGTCACAAGCCGAGTAGCCAGCCAGAATCATCGCGCATTATCTTTACAGCACAAGAGGGGGGAGAGAACGCCAACACTTTCGATCGCAACCGTTGACAACAGACGTTCTTTGTGAGTGTCAAAGTATAGCTAGTGTCAATTCGCAGGAAGATGCTGCGGAAATCGAAATACCTTCTCTCGGCGGCGAGTAGTGGACTCCGTCCGTGTAGCACAATGAGTCCCCTGGAAGGGACGAGAGTATTAGACATGAGCAGAATTCTAGCCGGACCCTTCTGCGCAATGCTCCTGGGAGACCTCGGTGCCGAAGTCATCAAGGTGGAGAAACCGGGAACCGGGGACGAGACCAGGAACTGGGGTCCACCTTTCGTGCATGGTCAGAGTTGCTATTTTCTGAGCGCCAATCGAAACAAGAAAAGTGTTGCGGTTGATCTCAAAAGCTCGAAAGGCAAAACGATAGTCCAGAAGCTGGCGGAAACTTCCGACATTCTAATCGAAAATTTCGTGCCGGGGAAACTCGAAAAGCTCGGTTTGGGATACGAACAGCTCCGCGAGATCAATCCCAAGCTGGTGTATCTTTCTCTCACTGGCTTCGGAACTCAAGGGAAGTATAAAGATCGCGCGGGCTATGACGTCATCGCAGCTTCGATGGGTGGACTCCTCCACATAACGGGACCCCTGGACGGAGAACCTTGCAAGGTCGGCGTTGCGGTCACGGACTTGGCAACGGCTTTGTATGCGAAAGGTGCCATCCTGACGGCGCTTCTACAGAGAATCAAAACCGGTCGGGGTCAGAAGATCGAATGTGATCTCCTGGGAACTCAAGTGTCACTTCTTGTAAATATCGCTTCGAACTATCTCAACGCGGGGACCGAAGCCAGGCGGTGGGGAACTTCCCATGAGAGTATTGTCCCCTACAAAGCCTACCGCACCAAAGACGGCTACATCACTGTCGGCGGCGCCAGCGAGAAACAGTTCAACATCCTGTGCGAGCGTCTCGGTCTGGAGAAACTTGTTCTCGACGAGAAATTCTCCACGAACGCTCTGCGAGTCGCCAACCGAAAGGAGCTCGACTCGATCATCCAGGAGAGATTCGCGCAGAAAACCAACGAAAGATGGCTCGAGAAGCTCGAGGGCTGTGGTATGCCCTACGGTCCGGTGAATACGCCCCGGGACGTATTCGAAGACGACGAGATAAAGCGCCGAATGGTTGTCACCGTGCAGCATAGCGCTGGAGGGGACGTTCGTCTTGTCGGACCCGCCGTCCGATTCAGTGATTCTCAGAACGCCGTCAGGAGTGCACCGCCCGTGTTGGGCGAACATACCGTGGAAGTTCTCTCGCGATTCTATGGGGAAGCTGAAATCGGTGAGTTCATCGCGGAAAAAATCGTGCAAGCCCATTCGAGATGACCGAGGAAGCCGACCTGAGAGCAGTTCCATGAACGTTTGTGCCTCGGTGACCCCAACCCACTCTCTCAGCCTGTTTATTGGTAGCCGACTCCTTCTGAGTGAGCCCGCACTCGCGACTTCGGGAATTGATCGAGAGAGCTGGTGAGAAATCGGTCCACTGAAGGACGCGCCCGTCGGTCGTTGTTACACGCAGAAACATCTCTACCGAGCCGCACAGCATCGTCTACCATGTAGAGCTTTGCAACCGACCATCGTCACGGCGACAAGACTGTCACCTATTCCCGCTACATTAATATAAATTGAATACTTGTCGCTCAACATAATTTATCCTCCTTATCATTACCTACGGACACGGCCGACATTTGCTCGGACACGGCCGGTATTTGCTCGGAAACGGGGCTGCAACCCTCGTAGCCTCTTATGACAAACTCCCCATCAGGGACCCTCCCCGGATCGCTCCGGAAGCGTTTGCATTCCTAGAAGAGAAGTCAGTCCACGCAGCGGACAGTTCTCGAGGACGTCACGCTCGCTCGTGGCGCTCATAACGGATCACAGGAATCCTTTGGGCTGCAGGAATCCGTTCGTATCGCCCACTTCCCAGAAAAAGCATAATTTGCTCCTCCATCTCAGAACTCCGGAGATGATTCTGGGTCTGGACTCGCCGGGAGCCCTCGTGGCTGAAAGCCATCCCTGATCATTGAATACCATCAACAAGCTCCCATATCGAGCGGATTCAGAGTCTCCTGTCAGATACGCGTCGGAAAACCGTCTCGCTTCCAGGATCGAGAAAATCCTGCCCCGTCGAAAGCTTTTCGGTCCTTCACAAGACATGTCATTGTAATTTCGACTGTATGGACTCCCTCAGCGTAGATGTTGGCAAGTGATGCGGCGGTTTTCGCTGATGGCGTTGTTGGCCAGAGGCCATCTGCACCGCTTAGTCCCCCTGAGTTATCATGAGGCATCAATCGTTCGCATACAATGAAGAATCAAGAGCAACGATCAAAGCTCTTTTGACAATAGCCCGCCGCGTTCAGGCGTCTCAATCGTGAGAACTTCGTGCGCCCACCTGCATCAATCATGCGTAGCGTGCAGTAGGCTGCGTCGCGTCAGATAGAATCGTACCACTTCCGAGTCTAAACAAGAGAAGGTCGACGACGCGACGCCTTCCCGCGCGAATGATTCTCCCATTGACCTTTCCATGCTTCGGGTAATTTTCTGCGGATATTCGCGGAAGAGTCTATTCGCAAAAGCTCAGGCAGTGCCTTGGCTCCTCAGCCCCGATGCTTCTCGCGGGCATACTCCGACATATCTTCCATTCTTCATTCTTCCACCACCAGAAACTGGGTTTTCCGGAACTCTTGTAGTCTTTCGGGATAGCCGTTTTTGCGAATTTCAGGATCTCTGTCCAGATAGCTCTCACAGCGTATCCTGAGAGGAAACGACTCCCATAGATCATCAGCATCGGTTGTTGCCGAAAGCCATAAAGCGCTAACACCCGGCTTACCGGCGATCGGTTGCGACGGGCTAGGTAGCTCACTCATTCAGGCAGTCAGTTGAATAACCCGGAGGCAGGAGGAGCAACCCGGACCAGTTTTCCCCAGTTGATGATCGAGCGGCTGATCTTGCATCGTTGTGTGATCCTGCAGCGTGATCAATCTCGCCGAAGACATTTCCTGTATCAAGGACGCGAACACGATATCTTCATACACCGCACCGAGGAGGATGTTATATCGTCGTCGTGCAAGGAAGGAGTTTTTGATCGAGGACTTATCCGACGCGATGCATTTGCCGTGCAGTCGAGTTTCTTATCTATGGTGCTGTCCCCGATTCATGGCTGCGTGTCAATCGACAATCACTTGTAGAATCTTGCGTTTGTCACAAACATCTCTATGATATTCGATTTCGAGAACGCAATTCTTGTTGTTCGTCCAGCTGCCTGCTCTTTCCTCAGAACTTAAGCGCTCCTTCGGCAATGAGTTTTGGCAGCGGATAGGAAACCCCCAGACCTGTAAAATTTCTGTCTGGTTCTGCATCGAGAGCGTTGCACTGGTAAACAGTGTTATACTGGCCAAATTGAAGGAGAACGACTGGAATACCAATCCGGAGGACGGACAGGTATCACATCGGGACGGACATTACGAGTTGGACCGGATATTTTCTCCGCCTGCGACTGGCGATGCTTCGACGATGTTGCCTTGGTCCCATGTGATTCAAATCCTCTATTCCACTTTCGTTTTATACTTGCCCAAGGACTCGTGGGCAGGGGATGTGAGGGAAAGATTCGTCTTATCGCGCATCAGTGTGACGAAATGAACGTAGACCGAGACGCGTCTGCCGTGAGCCAGTGTCCGATGGACGATTCGATCCTGTATACGTCCCTTTATATAATGAACGAAAATTACGGAAGCGCTAACGGTCATGGAAAAGTTTCGAACCAACGGTAGAGCGTCCGATACAATTCACGAACACCCGCATCAGCAGCGATGAAGGTTGTCTCATTTATTTTTTCTCCGAATCGTTGGATTGAGCGCTCGAATCAGAGCAGCCATACGATGGCGAGCACAGGGGAGTAAAAAAGAAATAATTGACGAGGGCAAAAGTTGAAAAAAAAAAGAATATTATTTATCTGAAAAAGGAAACCCAAGATTCCGCGTCACCCGCCCCACCGCAGATGTAGCCACAGAAGCAAATCTGAATGGTTCAGTAGCACAGAATTCGGCAGTTGTTGCTTCGCCAAGGTTTGCCGAACGTTCTCCGAATCCGAAAGAAAAAGGCAGCGAACACTGGTATAGATTAATCGGTCAACGACGATTATGAGGACGCAGAAAATGGCGCGAGGTACAGCAATCAGTAGGTGATGGGAAGCCGAAGAGGTGATGAAATTGGCTGTTGCCCCTCATAGGACTCACCGAGTGGTCGACGACGTCGACGAGGCCACGTTCGCAGCTCATACGATGCGACATTTTGGACGGGAACAATTGAATCGGATCACAGGTCTGCTTTCTTTCCCCCGCCTCCCATCTGCCATCCTCGGCGTTCTGTCTCTATCCACACGTTCAAAGGCAGCCGTGAACGTCATTATAAAGCCGACTGCGCGCGCGTGGCTAACCGAAAACCAGGGTGACCTTGCCCCACTGAAGACGACGAAGAGTTGGTCGACGCTCGAACAACGTTTGAGCAAACGTGTTCTGCAAGTTGAGGATCGTCGAGCGGGAGAAGATGTCGACTTCGAACATTTAGGTGTTCCTAAACAGAAAGACACGAGCAGCTATTTTCGCATAGATGCACCGGTCGCTCCGGGGCGAGATAACATTGTGTGCTCGACGGTGAGTCCCAGACGACGGGGGGTTCCAGCACGCCAAACGCAGATTACCCATCGACGAGCGTTTTGCGCGGCCGCCACCTTCCTCGGGTCTTCCTCCTCTCGTGTCATAAGGAAGATCATGCTGGCGTATTCAGGAGTGGGCACAAACGTCCGAGACGAAAAACATGAGAGCAGAAATTTCAGTGGTACGACCTCATTAGCGGTCCGGCTTCTGAATGACCTCAGTAATTGACTAGACATCAGGTGTTTACACAGAAGTTCACAATAATAATTGGAAGAGAAAAGAACCGTGGTCGGGGAGGTGTAAGTTGAAGTGCCGCGTCACGCCCCCTGTCTCATTACGCTTTCCGAACGCTATTCAAGTCGTATCGGGGAGCGGGCATTACAATGAGCGCACAGCGAAGTTTTCTCTATCTTTTTTTCTCCACTCAACAACCCTCCCATTGTGCCGACGTGGCGTTTCAGGGTTGACAAACGTTCGGACAGACTGAGTTAGGGGTCGACGGGATGGACACAAGAGCGGATCTAAGGCGAGATTAGACTGGAGCTGTGTCGCCGTGCACGTAAGAGCTCCCTCGCAGTCCGGTCCCACACGAAGACTTTTGATTTGTGCGACCGTCCGAGAAACTGATCTGCGGACTGACCCACTGTCCCGTGCCACAATAGGATTATCATCCGTGAAATTGATCCTCGTCGGGACGCCGATGGTCTCTGCTCCGTCTCAATGATCGCCGAGGACTCGAACCTTGTCGACCTCGAACCACAGCAGCGCTCGTCGCGGTTCCGTTGACGACAAGATCAAAAAAATGAAAGTGAAAGCGATTCTCTTCTCGAAGATCCATCCGGTGACGGTGTTCGGCCGCAACGATTCGGCACTAGCTGCTTCCCTGGTCTGCACGATACTGCTTTCAAGCAGGCGCGCCGAATGATGAGACATCTATAGTCTCGAGAGTGAAACCGGTGTTCTTCGCGTCTACTTTCGAGCTCGATGCGTCGGCCGGCTCGTTCGGCGTCTCGCGTTTTGCCACGGGGCCCCTCTGAATTTCCTTCTCTCTCGGCGTCTGGATACCAGATTTATTGAATGTTGTTTGCTTTGTCGAGCCAGTCTTCGGATCGCATGACTTGATGCCGCCAAGTCATACACGCTATCGGAGTGGCTGCCCAACGAGCCCGTTATCGCCCAGCGACTAAAATCACTGATACTCCACTGGGACGGTTTCCATCGCATCGAACAGTCGTCCGAATCGTGCCAATGCAGCGAAAAGCGGATAAAGAGGAATAATGGCGGGATGAATGTCTGGATTTTGACATCAAATCAGCCGTGACCGTAATGGTTGCCAATAAGAATATGCGAGAATCCGTAGATCTGGGCAGCGATTCTTCAAAACGAGCACTCGTTCGACTTCGATATCAATATTCTCTCCATCGAACTGGCCCTCCTGAATCGGGAATCTTTCCGTAACGGGGGAACGAACCACAGCTGTTTCATAACGTTTCTCATGCCACGGCAGATGCCCCATCGAGACACAGGGCCCGCGCCTCTGACCGTTTGGCCGGCAGATAGTCCAGACGACAAAAAAAACGGTTTCCCAACGTAATGCGGTCATAGTGAACACAGCTACGAAATTGGCGGGCCGGTGGCATGACATTGTTGAACTTGTTTCAGGTTGACAGCACCTGGCGAGGCAGGATTTAATGAACGCCGCCGCTGCTGCTG